AGGGAGAGGAGAGGGATAGGAAAAGGAAGACAGGGAGAGGAGAGGGAAAGGAACAGGACATGGAGGACATGAAGGTCCGCACAGGGATGGAAATAGCCGCGGCTGTCCCAAATAATATCTTCTATTTGGTTTGTGCGGGCTTGTGGGCCATCTTCTATTTGAATCGGTCGGGTGTTCAAAACCGGGCACGCTTTCAAATAGAAGATTTTCACAACTAATTTCTTCTATCTTGGGCGTCTGGCTTATAACCAGACAAAAGGTCGGTGATGAAGGTATTGCGTTGGAGCTCCCAGGGTTTGTGATTTATGCATGGGCGACATAGGTGAAGAACCAGGACCAGAAGCGATGACATTTACTGAGCGCTTCTGGGCTCGAGCACAGTTGTGATTCCCTAAGTTGACTGATGTCATCGATGATTCCTCACCACTTGTTGCCATTGCCGCTTCGTCCAGTGGCAAAGGTAGGCCTCTCGGTGGGCCACTTTGTTCTTGGTGTGCCACAGCTGAATGAGCCCGGTACAGACGGTGCCAGTGGCCGCCGTGGAAGGCCTCGCAAAGGAGAATCAGTTCAGACGAAGGCTTCTGGACGCTTCGGGGGTCAAGCTCGAAAGGTCCCGTTGATGACAAAGTTGCGTGAGCATGTGGGAGCCAGGCTTTTCAGTCAGCATCCTGGACCTTTTGTCCAGCAGAGATGTGGTCCAACAGTATCATGTCTGCACCTTGGCTCCGCTAATTACCAGCAAAGGCAAAACACGGCAAGACAAGCAAGCAAAGGTTCAGCTTCACTGAATACGGAAGTGAAACTCTAGGCAAATAAGAAAAGTCAGCCAACGCAATCACAGCAATTTTTACAATTTGTCCGGATTCTTCAACTTCTGCTTTTGAATCAGCTTCACCCTCATAAAAATGCAGAAGAACAAAGCAACATGATGAAGAAGAAGAAGAAGAAGACGCTTTTGAATCAAAGTGGCAAGCGACAGCTACTTCACTGTACTCTTCAGGCCTCACAGAGGAAGGCAAAGGAAGATCATTCATGGCCATCAGCAGAAACCTTAGGACCGACCACATGCAGTTTCTTCGCACTTGTTGAAGGACTTGCGCGTGCCAGACAACACAAACCGAAGCGCAGGAGAGATGAAGATGCTCATTTGCATGAGGAGTATGTGAAGATGCACACGCTTGGAGAAGCTGATGGTGTTGGTGTGGATGGTGATCTGTTGAGATGATGTGAGTGGGAGAGGTGAAGAGGATGATGTGGAGCTGTATGTGTGTGAGGGTGGTGATATGTAGATGTGAAGAGGATGATGTGGAGATGCGTGTGACAGCGAGGAGGAAGGAAGGAGGGAGGAAGGTGGAGGAAGGCGGACGGAGGCGGACGGAAGGAGGCGGGCGGGATGGCAGCCAAAAAACTAGAACCCCACACAGAGATGCGGGGAAAAATGCGTAGATGGCACAGCTCTCATTGATTCGGAAAAGACAGTGTTTTTGTGACCGTGTTTCTGCTTGGCCATCGGCGTGTGGAGTTCCAAAGTCCTTCCAGGATCGCCCTGAGCTTTGGTATACAGGTATGCGCACAGTTGCGGCAACAGCCCGCGACCTCTCAACAATCTGAATCCAAATGCGTCCGGTTGACCCTCCAAACGCCTCAACAGTGTGGGATGTATTGGTTTGTATGCCCTTTTACGTTGAAGACTGTTGAAGGGCTCTTTACAACTCAAGAGGAGGGTGCAACTGAATCACCCTGATATAGCGTCCTTGCTACTAGTAGCGATGCCCTTTGTTCCTAGTAGCATCCTTGCTCCTAGTCTTAGTGGACTCAGCAAGATTTCACCACAAAGGTCCCGCGGTCGACCAGTGAAGATTGAAATGAGAGCTACATGTGGGATCATGTGGTGATCATGTGCATTGATTCATTCCACCCAGCTTGCGAGGATTTCCAATATGTTCCCAAATGTTCTCAGTTGTCAAATGTCAATGATGGGATATCCACAGGTCTGAATTGATTCACTACGGGGTCATATGGGATCTCATATTCAGAGAGTTGGACCAGATATTGCAGATAAAGCGCTTGGACTCTTTCTGTTCAAACTTTCATCGCGCAGCGCGCAACAGTTGTTCATAGTTGTTTGTTTGCTTGTTCGTTGTTTGGTGTGAACTGCAACTCAGACCTTTGGCTACAAAAGTGATCTAGTAAGTTCCCACCAACTGCAGAAAATCTTTAGGTTTTGCCTCCAACCTCATAGCGATGGCCTCCAAACTAATTGCGATGACCTCCAACCTAAAAGGAATAGCCTCCAAACTAACAGCGATGGCCTCCAGCCCAATAGCAATGGCCCCCAAACTAATACCAACGGCCTCCAACCTAATAGCGATGGCCTCCAACCTAATAGCGATGGCCTCCAACCTACTTGCGATGGCCTCCAACTTAATAGCCACGCCCTCCAACCTAATAGCGATGTCCTCCAACCTAATAGCGATGGCCTCCAACCTAATAGCGATGGCCTCCACCCTAATGCCTCCAACCTACTAGCGATGGCCTCCAACCTAATAGCGATGGCCTCCAACCTAGCAGCGATGGCCTCCAACCTGATTGCAATGGCCCCCAACCTTATTGCGATGGCCCCCAACCTGATAGCAATGGCCTCCAACCCTAATAGCGATGGCCTCCAACCTGATTGCAATAATGGCCCCCAATCTAATAGCAACAGCCTCCAACCTAATAGCGGTGGCCTCCAACCTAATAGCGATGACCTCCAACCTACTAGCGATGGCTTCCAGTCTACTAGCGATGGCCTCCAACCTCTTGGGGCTGCAAAAAATCTTTGGGCTTTGGTCTTTGGGGCACAACATGTTTTCAAGTGTTGGATGGTTGCAGATGCTGCAGATGAGGTCTTTGGCTGGGCTCTTTTCTCGGACGCTGTATGCAGACGTGGTTGCATCCTGTCCCCCACGCCCCATGAATAGTTTTCTTCTTCAAGTATTTCCAGCCATATCAATGTTCATCAACTGAAAAGAGTGTGTTGAATCCTACGGGATGGCGGCAATCAGATTCGGCCTCCTGGCATCGAAGTGATGGTTGAGCATCGTGCACGGCGGTGTCAGAAGCCCTGTACTCATGAGGTGCTGTGACTCCTTTTTTGAACACTCCGGTCGCGCAAGTGGTGTTCAACGTGGATTTCAAATGGTGTGCCACGAAAACTCCCATTTCAACCTCGACATCGCGGACATAGCGATGCGATGTTTGGACTAAGAATAGGCCGCTGCACTTGCTATGTACTGGGCAATTGGCAGAAGGAATTGAGAATCTATTTTGCTAAGCACCTGTGAATTCTATCTTCAAGAATCCGCCTCAACCTTCAAGTGGCACACGACATACAGTTTACAAAGTCTGGAAATGACTTACAGCATGGCGCAGCTTGTGCTTGTGAAAGAAAAAGACAGACATTTGGCTGCATGACGCGCAACTCGCAGCATAGTGTATCCACCCTAGCAGCGATGGCCTCCAACCTAAGAGCGATGGCCTCCAAGTAGCGACAGCCTCCATAGTGTATCTTGCAAAGTGTTCAGACTTCTATCCACAGCTGGACGACACAAGGGCCTTGCATGAATGTCTTTTGGAACAGACCCAAGGTTCATGCAAACAAGGCTGCTCTCCAAAGACGAGGGGTTCGTTGCTAAATTGCTTGAGACTTTCAGACTTGTTCCAATCAAGCGTACAAAGCAAAATATGACCAAATGTGTTTCTGTACCTACTAGTGACCTAAGAGCGATGGCCTTCAACAAAGCAAAATACGGCTGTATGTGTTTCTGTGATTGTTCTTTCCTCTCCCTCTCCCTCTCCCCACTCTCTCTCTCTCTCTCTCTCTCTTTCCTTGTTGTTTTTCCTCCTTTAGATCTCCTTTTCTTTCGACTTTTAGACCGTTCTTTCTTCCTTCACCTGGGGTAGTTTCAAGGCAAGGGAGTGTGGAGGATGCCTAGTTTGGTCCCAGCACAACCACACTAGATTCCGAGTTTGGTGCGATTGGTACTCCAAAACAAACTTTGTTCGTTGAAGGATGGCTACATCTATTGTGACACGCAAATGAATATTATATAACTGTATAACAGTGAGTCCTGGTTCAAGATGCATTGGAATCCACAGCTCTGGAGCAGCAGTAGCGGGCTGCCCTAACTCATTCCGATTGAAAGTCGAGGTCTGAAGTGTCCAATCTGATCAGACTGGGTCCACTCCACCATGCCCAACGTAGCGAAGGGTTCTCGTTGAACTCTGGGGGTCTAGGGGGTAGCGCCTTGTTCGCGACTCGTTGTCGTAGCGACCGCAACCGTTCGCAGTAGGGCGCTATGGCGCTTACGTTGGGCGAAGCTTTTGGAGAGGGTTTGGATGGAAGCATGACGTGTCAGATTCGTGTGAAATAGCAAGGAAGCGTGTGGAAACGTGAGAGGATGAAGTGTGGAGGATGATTTCACTGCGCAGGCGCAGTATTTTGTGAGATCCGCAGTTGTCTGCGCAGTCAGATTGGGATTGGCGTTTGGAGGGTGGTGCTTTGGGGGGTGTTGGGTGTGGCTGTGGCATAGGGATTTGCATCTCAGGCTGTTGCTACGAAGGTGTGTTTTCGTGACAACTCTCAGCCAAAATGGCGATCTTGGTGGATGGGAGTGTGCTCAGAACGTGTCGAAATCATTCCAAACGTGTGGTGTGGTAGGCGCAGTACTTTGTGCGGGTTTTGAGGTGTGGAAGGGGAATGTCGCTGTGACATTTGGGATTGGCATCTCGGCGGGTGTGGCTTGGAGGCGCTGAAATCGCGAAACTGCTTGGCAGGGCTGCTTGGTGTGTTAGCTCCGATGGGTCTTCCTGCGTAAGCTTTGGAGGAAGTCTCATGCGAAACGCTCGTTTTGCAGACTTGACACATGAGGTTTGAAGGAAGTCTTGCATGAAACGCTCATTTGGGAGACTTGAACTGTGAGGTTTGGAGGACTTGTCGTACGAAACGCTCGTTTTGGAGACTTGACGCATTACTTTTGGAGGAAGCAAGGGTGCCCCACAAGTGTGTCCCACGAGAAAGTGTCCCACAAGAGCGCCCCACCAGACTGTCGTACGTAACCTCAGAACTGGCCCCTTGGTAGTGCAAATGTAGTATGGGAAGTGGCACAAGAGTGGTCCCATAAGACAGGAGACTAGAGTGTCTCGCGGTCTCGCAAGAGTGTTCCTCAAGACCGTGCCACGAAGGAGTCCCACAAGAGTGCCCCACAGGAATGTGCCAGCAGAGTGTCCCACGAGAGTGTCCCACAAGAGTGTTGCAGGAGTGTCTTACATGAGTATTCTACAAGAGCATCTCCTACAAGAGTGTCAAACACTGCTTGGCCGTTTGTTTTTGCGTGTGCGCATTCGGGTTCGTCGGTTCCATCTTGTGTTTTTCCCAGGAACCCCGTTCGTAGCGTCCGACCGCTCCGTTCGTAGCGATGCCAGGAGCCCCTAGTAGTTTCTTGTTCGTTCTTGTTACTAGTAACACGATTCAGGGCAATGTTTCATTGGAATTGATGTCAGGCTGCGAATGGGAACTTGGAAGCTGCCTTGGCACAGTTGGTGAGTGCTCCAAGGACGAGTACACCGGACACCGACGCCAGGGTTCTCCCTGGACGTCTGTTGGTTCAACGTGTCACGGATGTGGGCTGGATATTTGTTGGGTTATCAGTGATGAGGTAATCATTCATAATCCTTAGACACATTCATGCAACACGTATTCCTTGCGTAGTTGTGAAGTGATACCCACGGATGTATTTTCTTCTACAATCAGTATCTTTGTGGATTCCCGCAATTTCCACACACCATACACGTTGCCTAGTCGGAAGCCAATTGGAAGTGGCTGCGGCAAGTGCACTTTTAAATAGAAAGATACTGGTTGGAGGCCATCGCTATTTATAACAAGGACGCTACTGGGAACAAAGGGCATCGCTACGAACGGAGCAAGAAGCTACTAGTAGTTCCTGGCCATACTTCTAGTAACAAGAAAGCTACTAGGTTGGAGGCCATCGCTAATTGGTCAAGTTCACCCATGACCGGTCAAGCCCGGTCGCATGGTCGCGTCGACCGGGCTCTGCAGGAGCAGCCCGAGAGGCGAAGTGCTTCAGGCCAGTTGTGGGTCTTTCGCAGCACGAGAGGTGACAGGAAGGTAATCCGAAGCTGGAATCGATTGGGTATCGCTGTCAACAAGAGTGCCACAGGGATGGGAAAGAAAGAACCCATAGAAAAACCATGGTCTATAGATGTCTATATATGAAAGTTTGTGGCTGTATCAGGAATGGGGAAGGCCTTTCACCGCATGACTTGCTGAGTCCGCGGTTTGGTTCAACTGCAACGGACGGTTAAGGTCCCGAGTGGTTGGGTGTCCTTCGATCTCAACCTGACGATCTCTATGGTTAGAGGAAGAAACCATTTCAATCTTGCCAAATGAAAATCAGTCAGGCTGAAGCATCTCAGTCTTGCACAGGCCCACTCAATACCTTCGTGTGGACTTGTAGGTAGGACACGGCACGCCATCCCCAAGCTTGGATTGAAAGCCAATTTGGTTTGTACTGCCGGTGGTTTTCCCCGGTCTCCCCGATCACCAGGGTCCAAGCGATCTGTTTTCGGTGAAAGACACAGGCAGCTATTAGAAACAAAAAAAACAAAGGGAAGAAGACTCGGCAAAACTAGTTTGCTATTAGGTTGGAGGCCATCGCTAGTAGAAACAAAGGGAAGAAATAGACCAAATGCTCCGCAAATCTAGTTTGCGATTAGGTTGGAGGCCATCCCTATTAGGTTTGGCAACATCGATATGCGAAACAAAAAAGAAAAGGAAGAAATAGACCAACTGCTCAGCAGATCTAGTTTGCTACTAGGTTGGAGGCCATCGCCATTAGGTTTGAGGCCATCGCTATTAGAAACAAAACAAGGAAAATGAAGAAATTGACCAATTGCTCAGCAGATCTAGTGTGCTATTCGATTGGAGGCCATCGCTATTAGAAACAAAACAAAAAGGGAAACAATTGACCCATTGCTTAGCAGATCTAGTTTGCTATTAGGTCGGAGGCCATCGCCATTAGGTTTGAGGCCATCGCTATTAGAAACAAAACAAAAATGAAGAA